TTACCCTAGGGCTACCCCAGACAAACCTCCTTACCCTAGGGCTACCCCAGATCAAATAAAAGGTTGGAGCAGCCTGAGCATCGGTGGAAGTCCCTCTCCTTGAGTTGGACTTGCCTGCCTGGTCCTCCAATATTGCAAAATTATCTCGTGTCTTTTTTCTCATTTGTGTGTGGCCCCTCTTTCAGATACTGAACCCTACTCCATGCGGGACGTGGAGGGAGTCCTACGCGACACCTAATTATAATTTATAACATTCTTTCAAACTGTGATTTTAATAATTGCATGTTCTCATACTATAAAATAAATTTAGCTTAATTTATTTCATTTGATTTCCTCCAACTTGTCAGGACTAAAAATAAAACTTCAATGAATAAATAAAATTTCACATAAAATTTTGACTCTATTTCCAAGTTTGCAATGTGATTGGTTCTCAGACTAAATCATCAGATCAAAAGTGTGAATATTTTATAGATTTCTGATTCAGCTTATTCTACCATTTTCCTTATAATGGGCTTTAAACATGAAATTACTGGATCAAGAAAAAGGAAATACTTTGGAGATTTGATATGTGTCACCAAATTGTTTTCCATTCTTGTGCCAATTTATGTCTCTAACAACCATCTGTGGGAGCTCTCACCCACTAAGTTACTTACTAGGTAATAAACGATTCTCATCTTTGTCAAATTTGCACCACTGTGATCGCTAGTAAGTCTGAATATTTTTTATATGTTTATTCACCATTTTTATTTATTCTCTGGATTATTTATTCTCCTCCTGTATCTATTTCTATATTATTATGTTATTGGTTTCCTACTGGTTTTCAAAGGTTCTTCATGTGTTACAATACTATGCTTTTAAAAGGTGTTTTTTATTAATTTTTGCAAATAATGTTTTTTTATTTTTTACCTTTTTATTTAGTTTATGTTTGATTTATATGCAACAAAATTTTTAATGACTATATAGCCAAATTTATTAATCTTTTAGTTATATCTTTCTACAATTCTTGAATGCATAGAAAGACCTTCACCACATAGGAGTATGATTTTTATTAATATTCCTTTAGTTGTCATTGTGACTGTGATAGTTATATTTAATGAGTCCATTCAATTGGAAGAAGATCTGTTAATATTTTCCCCACACATCTCAAATTGTCCTGATATCTTAAGAAATTCTGTTTTTTCTCATACATCTATAATTCTAGCTGTATTAAATAGTAAATTATTGTATATGTGTCTGTCAATTCACATTGCTTTAGTTAATATAGTTTTATTATATATATATATAAAATTCAGTAAGTAAAAATTCCCTTTATTACTACTTTTAAAAAAAATGTTCTTAGGTACTATCTATTGAGTGAATTCTGATATTTTTAAAAAATGAGGTAAAAATTGATGTGCTTTTGACTAGTTTTATAAAACCTATATATTAATTTGGGTTGAATTTAAATCATTCATGAATGGGAAAATATCTCAATTTTTCTTGATTTTCTTTTAAAGCCTTTAGAAGGATTTTATAGTTTTCTTAAAATATGATATCTACCTTTTTTAGAGTTTTACACTTCATTATACCTTTAATTTCTATCTTCAATGGAGTATTCTGTCCATAATATTTTTGAACTGGTTATTGTTAATATTTGGGAAGACAATTTGAATTTTCATTTTGTATCTGGTCACTTTGTTGACTCCCCCTGTCTTTAATTTCTATTTATTCCCCAGGGTTTTCTAAGTGGACCACATATCATCTGCATAAAAGCAGTTTTCTCTCTTTCTCATAGCTTTCCCCCCACCCTCCCATTTTTTAACCTCCCCGGTTTCATGTGCTATTGCATTGGATACAACTTTCTAAAAAAGGTTCAATAACTGCGCTAATAGTGGCCATCCTATGTTATCCCTGGTAATGTTTCTAGGATTTTCCTATTAAATATGATGTAGGCTGTTGGCTTTCAATTAATGTTTTGTATCATATTAAGGAAATAGCCTTCTATTGTGGGCAGTATTGTCATTTTGTGATTGCTCCTAGACCTTAAAATAATTTTTTAAATTTAGAAGATAATAATCAATAAATTATTACTATGTTACAATAAAATTTCTTTTTCAGAGGACATGGTAATTAGCCAGATTTGCTAATGTTATCTGTGGAAGGAAGACTATTCTATATATGTAGATATTTCTAGAATATCTCTAGAAAGGAATATGTATTAATATATGCTTTCTCTTGAAGGCATATACAGTGTCTAACTGAATAGAAACTTAGAAAAGAGAAGTAGGAATGGTACATGTCAGATGTGGAATGACATCCATTGGCTGAGATTTTCGAGGTTAATCCAACGAATGATCACATCAGGGAAGTGGCCCTGGGTTGTAGTTTGTATAGTGCAGAGGGAACAGCTACAGGAATCTGGTACACTATGCGTGGCTCTACGTGGCACTTAGTCTCTTTATGCCTGAAGTATTATAACAATGAGGGGAAATATAATGGAAGTGGACCAAGTTGACAGAGTCTGAATGTAATGAAAAAAGGGAAGAGTGGAGAGCAGTAATGTCCCTCTGGGAGAATGGGAGGCCAAGGCTGAGCTCTGAGCCAAGGCTGAGCTCTGCTTGGAAGCAAGTAGCAAATAAAGAGTAACCAAACCAAAGCTGAGCACATCTCCTTACGGGGTCATCAGGCAAGAGAACTGGGAGCAAAAGTGGAGAGGGGTGTTGTACCAATTTCCAGTCTTTAAAAAGTTGTTATTTTCTGACTCGGGCATAAGTGTTCAAGGTTTTCAAGTTCCTCCTGAGAATCTATTGGAAAAATTGTTTATTTGTCTTCTTGACTCAAAATACTATATTAATTACTTACCTAATATCACAGCATTTTGGGATTTCTGGAAGACTTCTTCTGTGGGTTTGGTGTGTTTGTTAGTCCTTTGATTCTGCCAGATATAACTTACTGTTCTTTTATTTAAAATATATTTTAGAAAACTGTATCTGATCTGTAGAATTCTTTTTCATGTCTTCTATCGGGTTTTAGTATCTGAAGTGTGCTAGCTCTTTTAAATAAATTGTGAAGTTCCCTATCTTTTATGTTTGTACTAAAACAGTTCACTGAATTCACCCATACAATCATGGCAGCCAAGGGTACCTTCCAAGTGTTCAGTTTGCTTTCCATTGGCATCACATAGTTAATTAAACTGGGAGAAGTTTTCTGCTTTCTTTTAATATTTGGACTGTCTTTTAGGTAAGTTCCACAGTCTCTCCCAGGCCCATTCATACTGACAAAGTCCACACAGATATCATTCTGCTTTCAAGGGATTGAATAGCCCCATTAACTTTGTTTATTTCACTGACTCAGATACAGGAAGATGGAGTCACTGAACATAGCACCTGTGGATTTCTTATAATTGTACATGCACACTCACAAAGGCAAATGGTTTGTAACTGAAGAATAGAGAACTCAACTAATTGAAGTGCTTGTAAGCTAAGCAAAAGTGGTAGTTTTGTGGAACTCTGCAACAGGAGGCACTAACAGAGAATGAGAGACAGAAAACAAGGCAAAAAAAATGGACATTTTTAAAGTAATCAAGAAAAAATGGGTTGTGATTTAAAATAGTTTGGGAAAAGTCAAGTCAATATATCCATACCTTATTGCTTTGTTTCTTCCATTAGATAAGTAGAATTTCTGGTCTTTATTGTATTCATTAAATACTCCCCATCGTAGATGTGCCCATTCATGGACAAATACCCTTCCTGTGAGAAAATGTTTTAAAGACCCGGTTACAGTAAGAATGGCAAAATTGCTTTCTAATGCTGGGAGAAAGTAATTCTCCGGACTTTTATTATGCTTTGCTATGTTAATTTTTTAAAGTTTTGACTTCCTTAGAAAGAAAACTATAATATGACAACTCCACATT